TCCATTCCTGACTGTCTCTCCATTACTGACTGTGTCTCCCTATTACCGACTGTGTCTCTTTATTCCTGACTGTGTCTCACCATTCCTGATTGTCTCCCCATTCCTGACTGTGTCTCCCCATTCCTGACTGTGCCTCTTCATTCCTGACTGTGTCTCGCCATTCCTGACTGTGTCTCCCCATTCCTGACTGTGTCTCGCCATTCCTGACTGTGTCTCCCCATTCCTGACTGTGTCCCCTAATTCCTGACTGTGATCCCATTCCTGACTGTGTCTCGTCATTACTGACTGTGTCTTCCCATTCCTGACTGTCTCCCCATTGTAAATAGTGTCTCCTTTCCTGACTGTGTCTCACCATTCCTGACTGTGTCTCTCCATTACTGACTGTATCTTGCCATTCCTGACTGTCTCACCATTCCTGACTGTGATTCTCATTACTGACTGTCTCTCCCTATTCCTGCCTGTCTCTCCATTCATGATTGTGACTCCCAACTCCTGACTGTCTCCCCATTCCTGACAGTGTCCAATTCCCATTCCCGACTGTGTCTCCCAATTCATGACCATATTTCCCCATTCCTGACTGTGTCTCATAATTCCTGATTGTGTCTCCCTGTTCCTGACTGTATCTCCATTCCAGACTGTGTCTCCCCATTCCTGACTGTCTCTCTATATTCCTGATTGTCTCCACATTCCTGACTGTGTCTCTCCATTCCTAACTGTTTCCCTATTCCTGACTGTCTCCCTATACCTGACTGTATCTTCCCATTCATGACTGTGTCTCTCCATTACTGACTGTGACTCTCCATTACTGACTGTCTCTCCATTCTTGATTGTGACTCCCCATTCCTGACAGTGTTTAATTCCCATTCCTGACTGTGTCTCGCCATTCATGACTGTATTTCACCATTCCTGACTGTGTCTCCCTATTCCTGACTGTGTCCCTTAATTCCTGACTGTATCTTACTGTTCCTGACTGTATCTCCATTCCTGACTGTGTCTCCCCATTCCTGACTGTGCCTCCCCATTCCTGACTGTGTCTCCCCATTCCTGACTGTGTCTATATATTCCTGACTGTCTCCCCATTCCTGACTGTGTCTCTCCATTCCTAACTGTTTCCCTATTCCTGACTGTCTCCCCATATCTGACTCTCCCCATTTCTGACTGTGTCTCCCCATTCCTGACTGTGTCTCCCCTTTCCTGATTGTGTCTCTCCATTCTTGACTGTGTCTCCCCATTCCTGACTGTGTCTCGCCATTCCTGACCGAGTCTCCCCTTTACTGTGTCTCCACATTCCTGACTGAATCTCACCATTCCTGACTGTGTCACTCCGTTCCTGACTGTGTTTCCCTATTGCTGACTTTGTCTCCCTATTGCTGACTTTTTCATCCCATTCCTGACTGTGTCCCCATTAGTAACTGTGTCTCCCCATTACTGACTGTGTCTACCAATTACTGACTGTGTCTCCCCATTCCTGACTGTGTCTCTATATTCCTGACTGTGTCTCCATATTCCTAACTGTATCTCTCCATTCCTGATTGTTTCTCCATTCCTGAATGTGTCTTCCCACTTCTGACTGTGTCTTCCAATTCTTGACTGTCTCTCCATTCCTGACTATGTCTCTCCATTCCTGACTGTGTCTCCCCATCGCTGACTGTGTCTCCCCATCGCTGACTGTGTCTCCCTATTGCTGACTGTATCTCCCCATTTTTTACTCTTTCTTAGCATTCCTGACAGTTTCTCCTCATTCCTGACTGTGTTTCCCCTTTCCTGACTGTGTCTCCACATTATTGACTGTGTCTCCCCATTCCTGGCTGTGCCTCCCTATTCCTGACTGTGTCTCGCCATTTCTGGCGGTGTCTCTCCATTCCTAACTGTGTCTTTCCATTCCTGACTGTCTCACAATTTCTGACTGTATCTCCCCATTCCAGATTATGTGTCCCCATTGCTGATTGTGTCTCTCCATTCCTGACTGTCTCTCCATTCCTGACTGTGTCTCTCCATTCCTGACTGTGTCTCTCCATTCCTGACTGTGTCTCCCCATCGTTGACTGTGTCTCTCCACTGCTGACTGTATCTCCACATTTTTTTACTCATTCTTAGCATTCCTGACAGTTTTTCCTCATTACTGACTGTGTCTCTCAATTCCTGACTGTGTCTCCCTATTATTCACTGTGTCTCCACAATCCTGACTGTGTCTCCCTATGCCTGACTGTCTCTCCATTCCTAACTGTGTCTCCCCATTCTTGAATGTGTTTTTCATTCCTGACTGTGTCTCCCTATTCCTGACTGTCTTCCTATTCCTGACTGTGTCTCCCTTTTCCTGACTGTGTCTCTTCTTTCCTGAATGTGTCTCCCCATTTCTCTCTGTCTCCCTATTCCTGACTGTCTCCCCATTCCTGACTGTCTCCCCACTGCAGACAGTGTCTATCCTTTAATAACTGTGTCTTCCCACTTCTGACTGTGTCTTCCCATTCCTGACTGTCTCACCATTCCTGACTGTGTCTCCCCGATACTGACTGTCTCTCCATATTCCTGACTGTCTTTCAATTCCTGATTGTGAATCCCAATTCCTGACTGTCTTTCAGTTCCTGTGTTTAATTCCCATTCCTGACTATGTCTCGCCATTCATAACTGTATGTCCCCATTCCTGATTGTGTCTCCCCATTCCTGACTGTGTCTCCTAATTCCTGATTGGGTCTTCTGATTCCTGACTGTATCTCCATTCCTGACCGTGTCTCCCCATTCCTGACTGTGTCTCCATAATCCTGACTGTGTCTCCTCATTTCTGACTGTATCTCGACATTCCTGGCTTTGTCTCTCAATTCCTGACTGTCTCTCCAGTCCTGAATGTGTCACCTAATTACTGACTGTGTCTCCCATTCCTGACTGTCTCCCTGTTCCTGACTGTGTCTTCCCACTTCTGACTGTGTCTTCCCAATCTTGACTCATTCTCCATTCCCGTTTGTACCTCCCCATTCCTGACTGTGTCTTCCTATTCCTGACTGTCTCTCCATTCCTGATTGTGACTAACTGTCTCCCCATTCGTGACTGTGTGTCTGTTAATTCATGACTGTATTTCCCCAATTCCTGACTGTGTCTCTTAATTTCCTCTACTGTGTTTCCCCTTTCCTGATTGTCTCTCTATTCCTGACTGTGTCTCCAGATTCCTGACTGTATCTCCCAGTTCCTGACTGTGTCTCCCCATTGCTGACTGTGTCTCAATATTGCTGACTGTATCTCCTCATTCCTGACTGTTTCTTACTGTTCCTGACTGTGTCTCCCTTTTACTGACTGTGTCTCTCCATTCCTGACACTTTCTCCCTATTCCTGACAGACTCTCAATTCCTGACAGTGTCTCCCCATTCCTTACTATGTCTTTCCACTCCTGACAGTTTCTCCCTATTCCTGACTGCGTCTCACCATTCCTGATTGTATTTCCTCATTCCTAACCGTGTCTCTCCATTGCTGAGAGTGTCACTTAATTGCCGACTGTATCTCCCCATTCCTGAATCTTTTCTCCCTATTCTTGAACGTGTCTCCCCATTCCTGACTGCGTCTCCCCATTCTTGTCTGTCTCTCCATTCCTCTGTGTGTTTCCCTATTCCTGACTGTGTTTCCATTCCTGACTGTGTTTCCATTCCTGACTGTGTCTCCCTATTCCTGACTGTGTCTCCCAACTCCTGACTGTATCTCCTTATTCCTGTCTGTCTCCCTATTCCTGACTTACTCCCCATTGCTAATTTTGTTTCCCCATTCCTGACTGTCTCCCCATTACTGACTATATCTCCCCTTTCCTGACTATGTCTCCCCATTGCTGACTGTATCTCCCCATTCTTGACTTTCTCCCCATTTCTGACTGTGTCTTCACGTTCCTGACTGTTTCTCCATTCCTGACTGTGTCTCCCCATTTTTGACTGTCTCCCGATTCTTGATTGTGTCTCCCTATTCCTAACTGTCTCTCCACATTCCTGACTGTTTCCCTATTCCTGATTTTGTCTCACAATTCCTGACTGTGACTAACCATTCCTGACTTTGTGTCCCCATTCCTGACTGTATCTCCCCATTCCTGACTGTGACTCTCCTTTTCTGACTGTGTCTTCCCATTCGTGACTGTCTCTCCCTATTCCTGACTGTTTTTCCATTCCTGACTGTGATTCCCCATTCCTGACTGTCTCCCTATTCATGACTTTCTAATTCCCTTTCCTGACTGTGTCTCCGCATTCATGACTGTCTACTCTTTCCTGACGGTCTCTCAATTTCTGACTGTGTCTAATTCCCATTGCTTACTGTGTCGCCCCATTTCTGACTGTATTTCCACATACCTGACTGTATCTCTCATTGCTGACTGACTCCCTATTCTTGACTGTCTCCCCATTGCTGGCTGTGTCTCCCCATTCTTGACTGTCTCCATATTCCTTACTGTATCTCCCCATTCCTGACAATGTCTCCCCATTGTTGACTGTGTCTCCCTATTCTTGACTGTCTCTCTATTCCTGACTGTGTCTTCCCATTCCTGATTGTATCCCTATTCCTGACTGTGTCTCTCAATTCCTGACTGTTTCTCCCCATTCCTGACTGTCTCCCCATTCCTGACTGTCTCCCCATTCCTGACATGTGTCTCTCCATTCCTCAATGTCTCCTCATTCCTGACTCTATCTCCCCTTTCCTGACTGTGTCTCTCTATTGCTGACTGTGTCTCCCATTCCTGACATGTGTCTCCCCATTCCTGGCCGTGCAGGAGAACAAGGACTGCTTCCATGGGGAGTACTGCCGGGAGCAGCAGGCGTGCACGTGTCAGCGGGACTTTGTACGTGAGCCAGGCGGGGCGTGCTTGGCCCTGAGGCGTGTTGGCGAGCCGTGCAGAGTCGACCAGCAGTGTTCCAGGCTCGACCCCCGTCTGCTCTGTCACCACGGACGGTACGTGCAGCTCCTCTCTCACTATGGACAGTACTTACAGCTTCTCTGTCACCACTAACAGTACGTGCAGCTTCTCTGTCACCACGGATGGTACGTGCAGCTCTGTCACCACTGACAGTACGTGCAGCTTCTCTGTCCCCACGGATGGTACGTGTACTCCTTTTGTTAACTCGGACGGTACGTGCAGCTCCTGTCACCTCAGATGGTTCGTGCAGCTTCTCTGTCACCACTGACGGTACGTGCAGCTGTCACCACGGATGGTACGTGCAGCTCTGTCACCACAGACGGTACGTGCAGCTCTGTCACCACGGACGGTACGTGCAGCTCTGTCACCACTGACGGTACGTGCAGCTCTGTCACCACGGACGGTACGTGCAGCTCTGTCACCACTGACGGTACGTGCAGCTCTGTCACCACGGACGGTACGTGCAGCTCTGTCACCACTGACGGTACGTGCAGCTCTGTCACCACTGACGGTACGTGCAGCTCTGTCACCACGGACGGTACGTGCAGCTCTGTCACCACGGACGGTACGTGCAGCTCTGTCACCACGGACGGTACGTGCAACTCTGTCACCACTGATGGTACGTGCAGCTCTGTCACCACTGACGGTACGTGCAGCTGTCACCACTGATGGTACGTGCAGCTCTGTCACCACGGACGGTACGTGCAGCTCTGTCACCACGGTCGGTACGTGCAGCTCTGTCACCACTGATGGTACGTGCAGCTCTGTCACCACGGACGGTACGTGCAGCTGTCACCACGGACGGTACGTGCAGCTCTGTCACCACGGACGGTACGTGCAGCTCTGTCACCACGGACGGTACGTGCAGCTCTGTCACCACGGACTGTACGTGCAGCTCTGTCACCACGGACGGTACGTGCAGCTCTGTCACCACGGACGGTACGTGCAGCTCTGTCACCACTGACGGTACGTGCAGCTCTGTCACCACTGACGGTACGTGCAGCTCTGTCACCACGGACGGTACGTGCAGCTCTGTCACCACTGACGGTACGTGCAGCTCTGTCACCACGGACGGTACGTGTAGCTCTGTCACCACTGACGGTACGTGCAGCTCTGTCACCACTGACGGTACGTGTAGCTCCTCTGTCATCACGGACGGTTATCTTGAGGTTATCTTGAGATGATTTCGGGTCTTTTTTTTTTGTGTCCCCGCGGCCCGGTCCTCGACCAGGCCTCCACCCCCAGGAAGCAGCCCGTGACAGCTGACTAACACCCAGGTACCTATTTTACTGCTAGGTAACAGGGGCATAGGGTGAAAGAAACTCTGCCCATTGTTTCTCGCCGGCGCCTGGGATCGAACCCGGGACCACAAGATCACAAGTTCAGCGTGCTGTCCGCTCCGGCCGACCGGTACGTGCAGCTCTGTCACCACGGACGGTACGTGTACCTAATGTGTCACCACGGACGGTACGTGTACCTCATGTGTCACCACGGACGGTACATGCACCTCATGTGTCACCACGGACGGTACATGCACCTCATGTGTCACCACGGACGGTACGTGCAGCTCTGTCATCACGGACGGTACGTGCAGCTCTGTCACCACGGACGGTACGTGCAGCTCTGTCACCACGGACGGTACGTGTAGCTCCTCTGTCATCACGGACGGTTATCTTGAGGTTATCTTGAGATGATTTCGGGTCTTTTTTTTTTGTGTCCCCGCGGCCCGGTCCTCGACCAGGCCTCCACCCCCAGGAAGCAGCCCGTGACAGCTGACTAACACCCAGGTACCTATTTTACTGCTAGGTAACAGGGGCATAGGGTGAAAGAAACTCTGCCCATTGTTTCTCGCCGGCGCCTGGGATCGAACCCGGGACCACAAGATCACAAGTTCAGCGTGCTGTCCGCTCCGGCCGACCGGTACGTGCAGCTCTGTCACCACGGACGGTACGTGTACCTAATGTGTCACCACGGACGGTACGTGTACCTCATGTGTCACCACGGACGGTACATGCACCTCATGTGTCACCACGGACGGTACATGCACCTCATGTGTCACCACGGACGGTACGTGTACCTCATGTGTCACCACGGACGGTACGTGTACCTCATGTGTCACCACGGACGGTACATGCACCTCATGTGTCACCACGGACGGTACATGCACCTCATGTGTCACCACGGACGGTACGTGTACCTCATATGTCACCACGGACGGTACGTGTACCTCATGTGTCACCACGGACGGTACATGCACCTCATGTGTCACCACGGACGGTACATGCACCTCATGTGTCACCACGGACGGTACGTGTACCTCATGTGTCACCACGGACGGTACGTGTACCTCATGTGTCACCACGGACGGTACATGCACCTCATGTGACACCACGGACGGTACGTGTACCTCATGTGTCACCACGGACGGTACATGCACCTCATGTGTCTCCACGGACGGTACGTGTACCTCATGTGTCACCACGGACGGTACATGCACCTCATGTGTCACCACGGACGGTACGTGTACCTCATGTGTCACCACGGACGGTACGTGTACCTCATGTGTCACCACGGACGGTACATGCATCTCATGTGTCACCACGGACGGTACATGCACCTCATGTGTCACCACGGACGGTACATGTAACTCATGTGTCACCACGGACGGTACATGTACCTCATGTGTCACCACGGACGGTACATGTACCTCATGTGTCACCACGGACGGTACATGCACCTCATGTGTCACCACGGACGGTACATGCACCTCATGTGTCACCACGGACGGTACATGCACCTCATGTGTCACCACGGACGGTACGTGCACCTCATGTGTCACCACGGACGGTACATGCACCTCATGTGTCACCACGGACGGTACGTGTACCTCATGTGTCACCACGGACGGTACATGCACCTCATGTGTCACCACGGACGGTACGTGTACCTCATGTGTCACCACGGACGGTACATGCACCTCATGTGTCACCACGGACGGTACATGTACCTCATGTGTCACCACAGACGGTACATGCACCTCATGTGTCACCACGGACGGTACATGCACCTCATGTGTCACCACGGACGGTACATGCACCTCATGTGTCACCACGGACGGTACATGTACCTCATGTGTCACCACAGACGGTACATGCACCTCATGTGTCACCACGGACGGTACATGCACCTCATGTGTCACCACGGACGGTACATGTACCTCATGTGTCACCACGGACGGTACATGTACCTCATGTGTCACCACGGACGGTACATGTACCTCATGTGTCACCACGGACGGTACATGCACCTCATGTGTCACCACGGACGGTACATGCACCTCATGTGTCACCACGGACGGTACATGCACCTCATGTGTCACCACGGACGGTACATGCACCTCATGTGTCACCACGGACGGTACGTGCACCTCATGTGTCACCACGGACGGTACATGCAGCTCATGTGTCACCACGGACGGTACGTGTACCTCATGTGTCACCACTGACGGTACATGTACCTCATGTGTCACCACGGACGGTACATGTACCTCATGTGTCACCACGGACGGTACATGCACCTCATGTGTCACCACGGACGGTACATGCACCTCATGTGTCACCACGGACGGTACATGCACCTCATGTGTCACCACGGACGGTACATGCACCTCATGTGTCACCACGGACGGTACATGCACCTCATGTGTCACCACGGACGGTACATGCACCTCATGTGTCACCACGGACGGTACATGCACCTCATGTGTCACCACGGACGGTACATGCACCTCATGTGTCACCACGGACGGTACATGCACCTCATGTGTCACCACGGACGGTACATGCACCTCATGTGTCACCACGGACGGTACATGCACCTCATGTGTCACCACGGACGGTACATGCACCTCATGTGTCACCACGGACGGTACATGCACCTCATGTGTCACCACGGACGGTACATGCACCTCATGTGTCACCACGGACGGTACATGCACCTCATGTGTCACCACGGACGGTACATGCACCTCATGTGTCACCACGGACGGTACATGCACCTCATGTGTCACCACGGACGGTACATGCACCTCATGTGTCACCACGGACGGTACATGCACCTCATGTGTCACCACGGACGGTACGTGCACCTCATGTGTCACCACGGACGGTACATGCACCTCATGTGTCACCACGGACGGTACATGCACCTCATGTGTCACCACGGACGGTACATGCACCTCATGTGTCACCACGGACGGTACGTGCACCTCATGTGTCACCACGGACGGTACATGCACCTCATGTGTCACCACGGACGGTACATGCACCTCATGTGTCACCACGGACGGTACATGCACCTCATGTGTCACCACGGACGGTACATGCACCTCATGTGTCACCACGGACGGTACGTGCACCTCATGTGTCACCACGGACGGTACGTGCACCTCATGTGTCACCACGGACGGTACATGCACCTCATGTGTCACCACGGACGGTACATGCACCTCATGTGTCACCACGGACGGTACATGCACCTCATGTGTCACCACGGACGGTACATGCACCTCATGTGTCACCACGGACGGTACATGCACCTCATGTGTCACCACGGACGGTACATGCACCTCATGTGTCACCACGGACGGTACATGCACCTCATGTGTCACCACGGACGGTACATGCACCTCATGTGTCACCACGGACGGTACATGCACCTCATGTGTCACCACGGACGGTACATGCACCTCATGTGTCACCACGGACGGTACATGCACCTCATGTGTCACCACGGACGGTACATGCACCTCATGTGTCACCACGGACGGTACATGCACCTCATGTGTCACCACGGACGGTACATGCACCTCATGTGTCACCACGGACGGTACATGCACCTCATGTGTCACCACGGACGGTACGTGCACCTCATGTGTCACCACGGACGGTACATGCACCTCATGTGTCACCACGGACGGTACGTGTACCTCATGTGTCACCACGGACGGTACGTGCACCTCATGTGTCACCACGGACGGTACGTGTACCTCATGTGTCACCACGGACGGTACGTGCACCTCATGTGTCACCACGGACGGTACGTGTACCTCATGTGTCACCACGGACGGTACGTGCACCTCATGTGTCACCACGGACGGTACATGTACCTCATGTGTCACCAC